GGTAAAAACCGTTGGGATATTATTATTATTATTATTATTATATGCAAATTGGTGTTATTCAGAGGTCGTTCTCTGAAGTGTTGATCCAAGATTTTCTCGCTGCGTTTTAGAAGAAAAGAGCTGAGGCTAATTGGCGTGTAGGACGCTCTAGAGAGGACTGGTCTCGGTGATTTGTATGGGCTAAAGGTAGATACCGCCCATTGCAACTCTTTCATATTTATGTGCAGTTGTTTATATGATCCCGGTGTTTGTAATTGGTATCTTAAATAAAATGACTGGTACTAGGTCATCAATGAACAGCATTGCCAAGTAAAATAAGTATAGTAGACATTTATTTAACGCGGCTGTTTTCGCTCGAAAAAGTAAAAAAAAAATAAGTAAACTTATTAACTGAAAATTTTTCTCTAAGTAGCCATTTAAGTAAAGTTGTAAGACCCACTTTAGTTATTAATCCATATTCACACAGGTATGTATATATATGCATGTGTTTCTCAACTTGTCTCTGAAAATTTATGCATGCAACAAAAATTGCATTTTTCCAATTATAAGCGAATGAAAATCAATTTTTTATATGCACAATCAGCATTTTCTATATATGAATTAGTATTGTTGAATGAAAGCATTTCTTGCATTGAAGGTATGTACATATATATACTCTAACACATAGTCTTGTTCACCTATTTTTTTGTCAATTATTTATGTATTCTAAAATAAAAACAGCAATACAAATTCATAAAACCAATGCACGGTGAACGCTGGTTTTGATTTATGCTCAAGTGAGCACGTACATATACTTGCCAGCTTTTCCAATAACAAAATGCTTTGTTTACTTTTCTTCTTTTGTGACAGCGCATTTTTATTTAGTATTTAATTGAATACTTTATCTTTTCCAGCCAAAGGTTTGGACTCTTTCATATAATTGGATACGAAACGAGAATTCAAAAAGTTTGATACGAGCAATAGTGTGGATTTCATAACTGACACAGTGCAAGGAAACTCAATGCGAAAACTGGCCAAAATTGGGACTTGGAAATTTCAAATAAAAAAATACGATTTTTGGTGTATTGAATTTATATGTATGTAAATAATACGTAGTATATTTACATATATAGATAATAAATATTCTGTAAAACTTTATTTCATGCACATGTGTTTATATATGTATGTTAGTTTAAATTTTTTTAACAGCAATACCGGCTTGACTGGTTAAATAAACTAACTCGATACGAATTTTCGATTTTTAATTTCTGTTTTAGCCAGTAAACGGCAAAAATCGCGATTACTCGATGCTCGCATGTAAAAAGTACTCTCTAAAGGTCAAGGGGTACTCGAAAATTAGCCATAATGCATATAAAAAATGTTTTTGAATTAGTATTGCGATGTCATGGGGCAGGACCATAGACCCCAGCTCCTGCATTGCATCAGAGTAGCACAAAACTACTCCAAGCGATTACTTCGCTGAGTAACTTCCTCTTGGCAACACAGCCCAATAAGAAACCTGTAGGAAACCTGTGATCGGGAAAGAACAAACTGGTGTAGATACACGAGCTGGTCTGCCACTGCATTAAACTATGTTTCAATATGCAGGGATTATACTCATTTGCGAGCTTAACTGCCTAATCTATAAGTAAAAAAAAAAGAGATAAGCTATATGAAATGCCTCTCTCATTAATTTGTAGTTATAAAATAAACTCAGATTAAAGCGATAACTTTTCGGTGTCCAACATAGTTTTATACGGGCTGTGGATCTCTGTACAATTTGGAGACGTCCCTTTGGTGACTCACCGGCGGCAGTGAGCTCTCAACCTTAGAACCATTCTTTAAGCAGATCATAGATACATACTTTCCCGTTTAGGAGCCACTGTGTTAGCAGATGATAACTTTTCCAGACTATGGAAGCTCCAACGCAGCGGTGTTACTGCCTAAGGTGAACAAGTCGCATGACAGTCCAACTTCCTGATGGCTCCTGATTTTTGTGGTGATGTGAATATACACTTGGTACTGGAGAATGCTTGAATGACTAACAGTAGATAGTGTCAGGTTTTTGTAGCTCAATACGTACCACACTATTACAGGAACAGACGACAGAGCCCGATGCTAAACCTGTTTTCCGGCGAAGTACCTGACGGTAGTAATTTAGTGAAAAAGGTACCATGTTAGTAGGAATTTAAAGGTCAAGGTTTTTTACGTTATCCATTATGTTACTTAATACTTACTACAATACTAAGTTTCCTCTGAAAAAAGAACTGCAGGTAATGCGTAGTAAATTGTAAGAAAAAGCTCTCGGTACTCAAAATAAAGATCTGCAGGCAGCTAAAGCTCTTTACTAAAACTATCTAAACACAGGCAGCTCCGAAGAAAACTCTGAGATGATTCAAAAAGGATGTGGAAATAGCGATCCGAAACGATATTAAGTTGTACCGCAGTGCCCGGTCTGGATACCTCTCAGAACCAACTTCAGCAGATCACACGACTAGGACATTGCAACTTTGCATGTGGGGATATTTGACCAGTCCACAGGTTACAGTAGGGCTGCCTACGCTCTCCCTGCCAGGAGAGATTACATGAAGGGTGGCCAGAAGTAAATTGAGACAAACTCAATAAAGGTAAGCTAGGCCCAACCGAAATCCACCGAACCACATGCAGGGTGTCCAAACACTTTTCTCTAACGATGAGTGCCACGTTGTTAGCGTATGGTATTACTTGAAATCACCTAGTTTTCCACTCCTCCAGGACGCCGTTGATGACACCAATCTAAATATAGGGTAAGCCCAGTCTATGCTGGGCATAAGTACTGGCCTACTTCGCTATATCAGTTTTATCTCAGAATAAGTGAGAGATAAGCATACTTAGCTGTTTTCTAATCAGCAATTAGTCACGGCTCATACTCTCAAAGCTGATAACCAAGATATACACATTCGCAGCCATATAATATGATTGTTATTTACTTAGCAAATACAAAGTTGTCATGACTCCTAATATCGCCAAGCAATTCAGCTTTCCCTCCACTGCATCGATTAAACAGTTTTACATAACGTCAAGTCAGTTGTGCAGCAAAGTCGCGCTTTTGCTCTTTTATTCAAATGAAAATTTAAAAAGAACCCAATGAAATTCTTTCTAAAACGATGTTTGCACAAAAAACCAGAGGAGATGAAACCGGGCGCCATACTGGACGCTGTAATCTCACAGTCCTCTCCAACGGCCAACAAATGTCTACTCTACAAGCTGGCCGATTACAAGCGTGGTGGCGATCTGATTGACGCGCTAAATACTGGCGGTCTTGTCGCTGTTGAACAATTAATACGCGAACAGTTTGGCATCTTTATGTACAACGATGGCAAAGGTCAAGTAATTAACCGTGCCGAGTTTTTGCGCTGGAAATATCGCGACCACACTGAGGTGACCATACCGATTGAGGCATCACTGTCACGCCACGACCCACTTGGCAAGTGGGAGGATCACAAGGCCTGCTGGCAGATGCAATTTCGTGGTGCACTCGGCGAAAGTCTACTACATGTGCTCATCATATGCGATTCCAAGGTACACACCAAATTGGCTCGTGTATTGATACGCGTCTTTCCCAACTTGGCGCAAGATGTGATGGAGGGTGAAGAATATTTGGGCGCCAGCGCGCTACACTTGGCAATTGCTTACAGCAACAATGAGCTAGTGGCTGATCTGATTGAGGCAGGTGCCGATATAAATCAACGCGCCATTGGCAGCTTCTTTTTGCCACGTGATCAACAGCGGCGCAATCCGGCCAAGTCGACGGAGTATGAGGGCCTGGCGTATTTGGGTGAGTATCCGTTGGCGTGGGCTGCCTGCTGCGCCAATGAGAGTGTCTATAATTTGCTGTTGGATTGTGGTGCTGATCCAGATGCGCAAGATTCGTTTGGGAATATGATACTACATATGGTGGTGGTGTGTGATAAGTTGGTGAGTGTGGTGGCTAGTTGGGTTGGTGTTCGAGAATTAGTTACTTAAGTTCAACCCCGTCCAGGATATGTTCGGCTATGCTTTGCGTCATCCAAAAACGCCGGCCAAGAATGGCATAGCCAATCATAGTGGCCTAACACCGTTGACATTGGCTTGCAAACTGGGACGCGCTGAGGTCTTTCGTGAGATGTTGGAGCTATCGGCGCGTGAGTTTTGGCGTTACAGCAACATTACCTGCTCTGGCTATCCGCTGAACGCCTTGGATACTTTGTTGCCAGATGGACGCACAAGTGAGTGCATAACGCAATATTTATCGGCTCACTCTAAAGGTACAAATTTTAAATCTTGTCCTAATAGACTGGAACTCTGCTCTCTTCATCATATTGAATGGCACCAAGGAGGAGCATTTGGACATGCTGGACGGTGGTATCATTCAACGTTTGCTAGAAGAGAAATGGAAGACTTTCGCTCAAAATCAGTTTCTAAAACGTCTGCTTATCCTTTCAATACATTTGGTTTGCCTATCCGTTTCGGTTTACATGCGTCCTGCTCATGTAGCGGACGATGACGAGGATGAGACGGCGCTTACGAACGGTGCTTCTAAGGGCTCAAAAACAGTTGAGCTCGCTGAGGAGACGGAAGATGAGGAGTACGATGTGCAAACTATTGCGCGCTATTGTGCTGAGTTTGCAACCATTGTGGGCGTATTGAGCTACGTCGTTTTCCAGCAAGGGGATGAGATTAAAAATCAAGGACTTCCAGCTTTTCTTAAACAATTGGTAGGCTGAACCTTGCGGTTAATCTTTGTTTTCTCTGTTGCCACTATTTTACTTTGCTTCGCCATTTCTGTTCTTCATCTTTTCAGACCCATGCTCCGGCCAAGGCCATTTTTCTAGTATCAAATCTGTTAATATTGGCATGCATACCTTGTCGTCTGATGGGCGATACGGACACGGAGGAGGCTATACTCATATTTGCTGTACCGGGCAGCTGGTTTTTGCTCATGTTTTTTGCTGGGTGAGCTTGTGGTCTTACCAATCCAATTTTTTTAGTTTCTGATTTTGGTTATCCTTTTAGTGCCATTCGTCTCACTGGCCCATTCGTTACAATGATCTATTCCATGATTACGGGAGATATGTTCACCTTTGGCATTATCTACTCCATAGTACTCTGTGGCTTTTCACAAGCATTCTACTTTCTTTACAAGGGTCATCCGCAGATTCAATCGACTATGTTCAACACCTTTCCGAGTACTTGGATGGCTTTATTTCAAACTACACTTGGTGATTATAATGTAAGTTTGGGGTGATATCAGTTGGTGCGTCCATATTTCTTAAGGGGTAACACTACTATAGCTGCGGAAGAAATGCCTAAATTGTATAGAGTTTCTAATTAAAAGGGAGTAATGAAGTATGAAAAACATTGCATTAGCAATTACATACATACAAAATGGAGGCTAGAAAGCCAATTTACTGCATTGCATTTTTTAGTACCAAAACGGGCGAACACATATCCCACATATCGAACAGGAGTGTAATAATTCAAAAAAAAAAAGTAGATCCACGAAGGTTTCAGTATCTAAATTGTAATTTTTGACTACATTTTAGTCTAAAGTGCGAAAATTTGTTTACGTATTTCGAAATTCTGCATTCCAAAATCGTATCTTGGCTCTCGTTATGGCTAAAATTTGTGTTAACCCCGCAGAAAGTTTGAAATTGTTTTGTAACCCAGCAGAAAATCTGTAATTGCCTCTTTGCGTGGCCATGAATAGTTTTGGATTAGCTCACGACCAGATTAGGATTATTTCGAGACCATTTCGGGACTTGTTCAGGACTATTTCAGGCCCATTTCGGGACTATCTCACGCCCTTATATTTAAAGAATATTTTAGAATTAGTTCTGGATAATTTCGAACCTAGTTCAACACTATTTCCGGGTCATTTTAGGCATAGTTCAGTACCATTTCTGGACTAATTAAGTATCATTTTGGTACTAGTTCGGGATCATTCTGAGACTAATAAGGGCCCGCTTTGGGACCATTTCAAGACCTATTCGAGAAAATTTTTGGTACAAGTTTCGCGGCCTGTTAAGGGGTATCTAAGGAGCTGGCGCGGCATGATTTCAGGCTCTATTCCTTTTAAGACTAGATCAAGACTTTTGCAGAACTCTTTTGGGTTCGTTTCGGAAATAGTTCAGGATTATTTCGGTACTAGTTTAGGAGCATTTCAGGTTTAGTTTGAGATTATTTTGGGGCTAGTAAGGGCCCATTTCGAGACCGTTTAAAGACTTGTTCGAAATAATTTCGGGAAATGCACGACTTTTTTTTAGAAGCACTTCAGGCAGGGAAATTTTGAGACTAGTTCGGGGTAGAACTTTTTTGACTTTAAACAGTGAAATTTTTAAAATTTCTAAGAACCTATTTTTGCTGTTCTTCCTTCAAGGAATCTATTTCCATGGTCGCAGAAACAAAAAAAAACTGCATTTGATTTTTTTATTTTTTCAAAGTTTATTGCAATCTGTTTAAGGTAGGACTGTGCGATTAATTGATTATTCAAAATTTTAATTAATCATAAAGAAAATAGCTATTGGCGATTAATTGGAAATTAAGATCACTCAAAAGTTCAGTTACTCGAGTAATCAAGATTTTGATTAACCAAAAACTATAATATTTGAGTAATTTGCTTTATGATTAATCAACATTATGAGTGAAATGAGTATCAAATATTCAAAGTACTCTGTACATATAGAGCATTAGAAGTCCCTTGATATTTTGAAAACAACATTTTTGTTTTAAAAAATAAAATAAAATAATTTTTTCATTACACATTTTAAAAAAGAACTTAAACATTTTCCAAAGCAAACTATTTTAACGAGTAAATTTAATTTTTTGAGTAATCATATTTTAAGTAACTGGATTAATCATCGTTTTGAGTAATCAAATTCTTGATTAGTCGAGTAATTGAATAACCGAACAACTGAATAACCAACTTGCTCGAGTAATCGAATAATCGCACAGCCCTAGTTTTAGGTCAAAAACCGAAAAAAAACTCCAAAACCTTACTTTTAAAGGACGGTTTTGAGTCGAAGGTAATTTTTCATTCCATCATTTTTTGTATTTTTTTTGGGGGGAAATGGCTGGAAAAAAGTGTCGAACCACCCTAATGTACATACATATGAGAAGGAAAGTTCATTTTACTTGACGCAAGAGTCTGCATTGTACTTGGAAATAGTTATTTTGCAACGAACTTAAGAGCAATTGGAAATGTATGTAGCTAAGTTTTATTGTGCCGCGATGTCTAAGGTCTCCTTATTGCTAAATATTTCGAAAAAAAAATATTTACGTACTCACCTACTATGTATGTCTTGAACATTCTAATTTTCATTTGGTTTTTCATTGATACAGTATCCGGATTTGAATAACACAACCTATCCGAATTTATCGAAGACGGTATTTGTAATTTTTATGATATTTGTGCCGATACTCTTGCTAAATATGTTAATCGCCATGATGGGTAATACTTACGCACAAGTTATTGAACGATCCGAGAAGGAGTGGATGAAGCAGGTAAGAAATAAAACTAACAAAACAATTAAAACCTTAATGAGACTTAATGTCACACCCTTTAGTGGGCAAAAATCGTGGTCACATTGGAACGCGCAGTGCCACAAGCCGACGCTAAAAATTATCTTGAAGCTTACTCCATACCACTGGGGCCGATCGATGACTCCGGCTATGAGGTGCGTGGCGTAATGGTCATCAAAAGCAAGGCGAAGACAAGAGCTAAGCAACGCAAGGGAGCCGTATCTAATTGGAAAGTATGCAACTCAAATAATTAGTAAAATATTTCGCTCCACNAGTTCGGGCATACAATTACACTCTTCGTTGTCGGGTGTAGGAGGTGGAGGTGCAGATGGCATACTAACACAAAAACAACGCCAGCAGCAGCAAAATCTTCCACCCGCACCAGATCCACTACGCGATTTGATCTTTCTCGCCGATCGTCGCCCTGAAATGCATGATCCACAATATTTTGTTGGCCTACAACAGCTGGCAAATCAGGCTTTGGAGTTGGTGGAGCAAACAATGGGCATGCATCCGGTGCCGACACCGGCTACAAATACATCGCTATT